CACAACACTGGAGGTTTGGATGAGCTGCCCTCTTTGTAATTTTAACCTCCAGATCTATTTAGGAACAGCGTTTTGTTTTCACATTTTATATATTTCTGTTTCCTCAAACTTTTTTTATTTTAATGACAGTAGATGAATACATTTTTTAACAATTTGATTTTAGTAAAAATAGTAAAGAACCTCCTGATAAATGAAATAAAGATGTGTCAGACATAGAATATTGTCTTTGTTTCAAAACTACCCAAAAATGCAAAAAGAAAAAAGTATTGATCAACGCAGCTGTTGTGTTCAACTTTATTGATCATTCTAGGGAAAGATAAATCTCAGCCTAAATAATATAATAGTAAATGTTGGTATTGTGGAGACAGTGACTTGATAGAAGGCCATTCATCATCTCAATTGGAGTCTTTTTCACTCCCACTAAAGAGTCTTTCTGCTACTTCGCCTTGAGCCTATTGATAGAGTACAATCCGTAGGCAAAATAGAAAGTGTTTAGGGCGAACTACATAGAAATTATTCACACTGTTTATTTAGCTGTAAAACACAGGAAAGTGTTTATCATGTGTTCAATGTAAAGCAAATCTGTGGCAAAAGCAAAATTAAACCTTTCCGTTGCAGCTGGTAGACAACAGCGTAAGTTGTCAGCATATACCTGCTGCTGCATAAATTGTTGTTCATTTTGGGAAAGGTTAGCATTTCTGTCTAGATTATACTGCTATTCAAGGGTCTGAAGAGCAGGGGTTTGTCTTGTGACAATGGATTCACTAGAATCGATGTCAGGGGGTTGAGAATATTGAACGTGGAAAAGCAAAGGCTCCTATTAGCTTTTTATCATTGTCTGTGTTCCTGTTGCACATTTTTCCTCCCTTTTCTGTGTGGTAAAACCATTCTCACTGGCACAGTCAATGAGGGGAAATCTCTCCGACAGAGCCCTGCATACCAGTAGAACTCAACAAGGGGCCTAACCCTTAACGAATCTGTACTGCCCGGCCAAAAAAAACAAAAACATCACCAACTGGATTTAGTTTTGTTATGATCTGGGGTTGCTTCAGCTGGACAGTTCTAGGTTCAGCAACATGTGACCACAAATTAGGTCAGCTGCATACCTGATTATACTGAGTGACCAGGTTTTTCCATCAATGCATTTTTCTTTCCTGATTACACGGGCATATTCCAATATGTCAATGCTAGGATTCATTTGGCTCTAATTGTGAAAGAGTGGTTCAGGGAGCATGAGGCATCATTTTCACACATAGTTTGGCCACCACAGTCCAGACCTTAACCCCATTGAGAATCTTTGAGATGTGCTACAGAAGACTTTACATAGTGGTCCATCTCTCCCATCATCACTACAAGATCTTGGTAAAAAATTAATGCAACTGGATGGAAATACATTTTGTGACGTTGCATAAACTTATACAAACAGTGCCATGGTGAATGTGTGCCGTAATCAAAGCTAAAGGCGGTCTAGCAAAATATGAGAGTGTGTGACTTCTTTTGTTTTGGTCAGGCAGTGTATTACATAATCCTGTAATAGAAAGTGGTAACCTTTGCGTGCTATTAATACCTTGAATTCTCACACCAAAGCAGTCTCATACCATTACATTTGGTAATTAACACTTCTCCAGTGTCTTCATTTCCTCTGCATCTCACAAATGATCCAAACACCTCAAACTTACCCATCTATACTACTCTTTTTCCAGTCATCCATTGCATGTGGTCTTTTGCCTGTTTTAACCTTTTCTATTTGCCAACGTCCTATATGGCTTTTTCTTTGAAATTCTGAGGGCAGAGTTTTCTGTTTACTGTTACTGAAGATACTGGTATTTGGCATCTGCTGTTTAAGGAAGTAGCCAATTGAGAACCTGTAATGTATCTGTTCATGAATAATACGCACACTTTTAGAAAAAGTGCACTTGTTCTTTTTGCCCTCCTAAAGGATCCCACCCTCTCCCTCCACAGATCTATACCAACTGAGATTTGAAGGCCACTGCTCCACTGTTTGTTGACATCCAGCACTGCAAGTCTCCCTCTCCTGACAGCATCCACCTCCTCGCTGGCAGATTTCCCCAGAGAAGTCTGTGGGGCTCTAATGTGCAGGTGGGGCCAGCAGAGCGAGCATTGCCGTGCTGGATGTAATCGTAAGAACAGATCTGCGGAGCTGGGGTGTGTGATTTGTTTTACACCAGGGGTAAGGAGCAAAAAGGATAACTGCACTTTGTTTTAAAGTACACTTATTCTTTAAACTGCACATTCTGATGTACTTGTTATTTTACATCTGTTTTTCACTATTTAGATGTAGTTTGCACTCTTCTCCGTAAGATTGGCTGTAGTGAACCCCTTTGCATTGAATCTTCAATCCATTGGAAATCTGACACGTGGAGTAATCTTTATTTCTCAAAATAACAATAGTCTGGCATGTTTCTTGAGAAAACCGCTTTGTTTTGGTGGTCATTGTTCCGTAAAATCAACTTTTCTTTAATGCAAGTACCTTGCAAACCAAGGCAAACCATTTGTTTGCTTTTTTCTTAACAGAATAAATAGTTTAAACAGAGCTAACACAATTATAAGGGTTTCTGCAGTAACCAGTTATTTACAAATCATTCATTTAGCATGGGCTAATGATATATATACTGTATATGGTATAATATAATAATGATCGTTTATCAGGAGATAGGAGATTAGGAGATATGACTGCTAAAAATGGGGCTTTGCAGTAATATTTGAATAAGAAAATATAAATCAGTCATTTTAGGCAGTGATAAACATTTGTAGCATTTAGTTTCGTATTGTCATATTTGCTAACACCATTATAATAAAAATTCTTGGTGATCTAATTTATTTTTTAATACTTTATTTTACTTTATTAATACAGTACATAAAACACACTTATACATCCATTATTACATATTAAAACAACAATACAAAAACAAATGACAATACAATAGACCCACAAAAAAAACTGTAAAATTAATTTTCCTCTCATCATACCATATTACTTAAACCACATTACTCCTCAAAATACCAATAGCAAATAAGGGAGATATTATACCCAAACTCCTTTACTATATTCAATCCACTTATCCCAATTTTTACCATATTTATCCATAGTACCTCTATGTTTGAACATAATTCCCTCAAATCTAACCACTTTATCTACTTCTTTCTTCCACTCCTCTACTGCGGGAGGCGTTGCTGAAATCCACCTAAAGGCTATATCGGCGAGGTCCATATAATGCCCTCGTTATTGCCACCTTCGTGTAATACTCCACCTTTATGGGTCCAAAAATACCCAGAGTACATAAGGGATTATTAGAAATATGAACTCAAAAGGCTATATTTATTATGTCCACTATTTGTTACCAATATCGTTTCAACTTCGGGCATCGCCACAGCAGATGTATCAACGAACCAGGTTCAACCCCACACTTTGGACATTTAGAATTTTCCCTAGAGAGTCCTATCCTATGTAGGAATTCAGGGGTCCGGTATGTTCTATGTACGATATAAAGCTGCGTTAATTTATGCGATGCAGATGGTGAAACTAAATGGATTGAAAGCAGCGATCTCATTTTTAACAATTAGTGTACGAGTGTCTGTTTTTAGAGCTCAGCAAATCTGAGCACAGGGCCTGAAAATACATGGATTATTTTAATGTCTGTATTAGGGATGCACCGATACCGGTTTTTCGGTATCAAGTACGAGTGCCAATATTTCCGTGAGCATGGAGCCAGCTTCCTGGTCAATCAGGAAGCTGGGCGCTGGGTATTGGCTCAATGCTGATTGGCCTGGAAGTCGGCTCTATGCTATTTGGCTGGCTTAATGCTGATTGCCAGGAAGTTGGCTTCCCGACCAATCAGGAAGTCGGGAGCCACGTCGTTACTCTCCACCAGGTCTCCTAATTGGCCGGGAAGCCAGCCCCTTGCTGTTGGCTGGGTCAATTCTGATTTGGTCTAGAAGTACAGTACAGTACTGTATAGAGTTCCTCACTTAACGACCAAGCCTCTTAAGGTCTGTCTTATTGTATCTATGACATGCATATATGTGCTTATTGTTATTGGATGTGTACATTTTTGTGCTATCATCTGTTGTACCACCAGTTCCTAGTGCCCCAGATCTGTCTGGAATTTGTAACTATTGAAGGGGTTTGGTGGCAGAACTACTGCCACCAAACCCCTTCAAAGTGAAGTTGTCATTCATTTCAAAATGAGTCAGTACTAGTACTGCCTTAGAGCAGGCATCACATAACCTTTCTTCCTCTCCTGTATGCCCCATGTGATCATTATTTATCTTTTTTTTTTAAGGGTTTGATTTCCCTGTCTTCTGGGAGTTAGCTCTACTCACTTTCCCTACCCCTGTCAAATTAGAGCCTGTACTGGCCACTAAGGTTATTTTACAAGAAAGAGCAGTTGTATAGGACTAAGGGCTACTTCACACCAGCCCCAGTGGATTGCACTGGATCGCATTCCGCCGTCTCACATTGTTTTGGAGCGGGAGGTGGCATGGCGGGGCATTGATGTCAATGGCACTGTAGTTACGCCCTCCAGCCGCATTTCGATCGCCCACACCGAAACATGTGGCACATCAGTTCCTGAGTTCCAGTCCGGTGCAGTCACAAAAAATGCTGCATGCACTATTTTTTTGTGACCGATCACGGGACCGAAACGCAGGCATTGATGTGCCAAGCGTTCCAGTGCGGGTGGTGCCATTGACTTCAGTTCCCCCTGACACGCTCCCTCCCGCCGCCAAAACAAAGTGAGCTGGCCGGAACGCACTGGGGCTGGTGTGAACTAGCCCTTAGCCATAACATCAAGGAAATTCAAGCCCCTAGTAATATATTCAAACCAGTATAAAAGAAGCACAAATTGTGAGATGTTTTGGCTATCAACGCTACATGTAGTGACTTTTTGCTTTTAAAATATTAAAATTGCTGACAGGTTTGATATGGAAACAAAAAAAGTTACTGCGCAATTTGTTGATTTTCATTTTTGTCTTTTCAGAGTGCACAATTTTATAAAGTGACCACTGATCAATACCAGGAAGCAGCAAACAGTGTGGAGGCACGATTCAAGTAAGTTACCATGGTGTTTTCATGGATCATGTATCTAAAATGTGTAATCGGGTTACAAGTTGGCTTGCTTTTTTTAATTTCGTAAAAAAATATTGCCTTTATATGCAACATATCTAATATAGTTAATTTTGTTCGCAGATTTATGTAGCTGGCTACAGCAGGAATTAAGGTCATAGGGAGAGATACATGAAGCTTGCCACAGTGCAAAATACAATTTTATGCAGTTCTAGGGAAATAGATTCTGACAGATTTACTATAACATTGCAGCTTGATTTATACATTGCCAACTCTACTGCTCAGAGTAGCAGTGCACCAGTTTAAAGTTGGTATCAGTGACTTATGCAGTCAGGTGCCCAGAAATAAATCTACTGCAAATCCTTTGCCCAGTTAGAGGCAGTCTTATTTGCATCAGATGTACAATTGATTTATGTTGGTAGCTTCACAGATCTCCCTCATAGTTTTCTTTTTTTACTGACTGACCTGTGACCGTCTCATTGTCACAGGTCGGCTAGAATTATGAGGTGAGTGAAAAGCACTCACCTCATAGTTCTCTAAGACGTTAATTGCACTTTTCTATAGGAAATATTTGCCCTATTTACAAACCACATTCACTGACAATTGCCTACATCTGTTCTTCAATGGGAATAGATTCTTACTGTAACATTTGATTCTTACTGTAACATATAACTAAGTGAATGCCGCATTTACTAGATTAATGCATTTTTACACACTGTATCCAAGGCTGAAGCGGTGTGTTTTTTTGTTTTTCATAGATTTTTTTAAGTTCTGTGAAAATGTGTCCATTTAGCACGAAGTAGTGATGTTATGCAGATGCCTTATAATTTCTTTGCTTGTTGTGCATGTTTGGCTGTTCATTAGTGTAGGAGACTGCTTGGCAGGTTGAACACAACTTGGTATTTGGTCAGAACTGATGTCATGCTGTTTTTGCATTTTGCATCATAAACCGGAGGTAATTACTGCTATTGCACATTTCCACTGTAGGTCTATTAATTTGGTGAGAACATTGTCTTTGCTTAAAGACGAACTCCAGGATTTAGAAAAGTTAACCCTTGCAGTGAGGCAGAAGGGTCAACTTCTCGTTTTATGTAGGGGGCCAAAATAAATACTCACCCTAGCTTCTGTTGCGCCTAACTGCTAGACCAGTCCCCACAGGCTCTTCTTTCCCCAGGTTTAGGCGGTCTATGGACCCATGACATCATCATGTCTAATACAGGTCTATTAGATATGAAAATGCTGAGGGACATACCACAGCCTGGCAAAGGAGAGGCGAGCGTTCATAGCCACAGGACCGAGGATTGGGTGAGTATTGTTTATTTTTGCCCCTAGAGAAAAATGAGCAGTTAACCCTTGCAGTGTGGGGGGATGGCCCCACTCCAAGGGTTGAGTTATTTAAGATTAAAAAATAGTACATACATCTTTTATTGGTACATCTAAGACTTTCCCTTGGCAATAATGTCTTGTGAAAACTATTTCTATTAACATTTTTCTAATTTGATCAGGTTAATTCAAAAACAACTAGCGTTACGGTAGATAAAAAGTGTATGCTTTATTCTACAGTATAATATGTCCTGTTACTAGTGACACTTAAATTATGTTTCAGTTCTAAAGCAAGTGTTTTACAGAATAAGCTAAATATTTTGGTATTTCAATGTTGTGCATTTTTTTATTGCATGACCAAAAAATGAAGGAACAAAATTAATAAAAACAAAAAAGTTTAAACATTATTATTAATGTTATTAATAATATTAATAACAGTAGTTAATTATGGCTAATTAGTTCAATTAACATAAAAACATGTGTGTTAACTTGCAGGGTTGCTACTGAGAGCATATGCTGATTAAAGTCACCCTCAACTGCTGTGAACCAGTGAGAGTCATTATAATCTAGCAGTAATAATGTTGCTACATCATAATTCTTAACACTGCAAACAAGGTGCTGTGAGTATCAATTTAAATAGGAACATCTACAGTTGTTTCTGTGATATAGAGCAAATCCCACTTGTCAAAATGACAGCCAGACTTTGCTGATTACAGCAGGGTGATACGGGGGATGTAGCGGAGCAGGGCTTTTCTAAGTTTTTTTGATGTGACTGTATACCCAGTCTACAACTGGCTAAGGCACATGTGTAAACCCCAACAATAAATTCCTCTTCTTTTCTCCCTTTGTGTCTGTTAAAATAAACAGTTTTAAGTATTTTATTTAAACATATACTTGCACAACCTCAATGGAGGGAAGAAAGCAGAACCCTGTTATGTATTCTATTTATAACAATTCCCAATATTGTGGTGCATATGACCAGCATTTCATGATAGCCGCTGTCAAGGCATGTATGAATGCAAAGGTGCCTCAAATATAAAATTACCTCCCCTATAATATCAATAAAAATGTAATTACATTTCTAGGCTGTTAGCAATTTGAATGGAAACACATACATCAGAAATTATATATTCCAAAAAAAGCATACATTATTCATGTAAATACATATAACAGTTGGTATCAGGTAAAATGTATTTCCATATAAAATCTAGATAAAAAGGGTAGGGTCTATTTTAGGGTGAGAGAATAGTGAGAAACTGCCTAATCAGAATCTTCTCCACCCTGTACTGTTTATAAAGATTTACCGCAGAGGGCTGTACACATTCATCAAGAAGAGGTGTATTTCTGCGCTTGGGAGTCACAGTTGTTTTCATACAGCCACGACCAGCAGACTGTAGAAATCAATGACAAGCGGACAGATGCCACGACTGTACGCAATAAACCGCACACCCGCTCATCCAACCCTGTATGCATGTAAGCACTTGGATTTTTAGTAGGCAGCACCAATGCTTTTCGAGTACCAGTGCCGATACTTGGCATTTTCATGAGAACTACCAGGGTTGCAGCGGTTGCAACTGGGACCTGGCTCTGGCACTCCACCACTGTCCTGAAATCATTAGTCTGCATTGTTTTAGAAAGACTGTCACATGACAATAATCAAAAATAGAGGTGCACTGAAATGGAAATTTTAAAAACGAAACCGAAATAAAAAAAATGTCAGGCCGAAACCGATACCGAAAATGGTTTTTATTTTTTCAATTTTTTAACATTTATTTTTTATAATTTTTTATATTCATTTTTATTTATTAATTCATTTTTTATTAAATATTTTTATTTTTTACTTTACTTTTAGGGGCTTCAGGGAAATATTAGGGGTCTAAACAGACCCCTGATATTTCCCTTTTTAAAATAGAAAAAGAGATTGAGAACACAAAGTCCTCAATCTCTTTTTCTGTGTCCCCTGTTATCAATGAACAGGAATCCTTTATGAGTGTTCCTGTTCATTGATAACATGAGAACATTGTTTACTATAACCACAATTATGAATGAATGGGGGTGATGTAGATCAGTCCCATTCATTCATAATTGAGGATATAGTTAACACAACATATCCTCATTTATGTACACACACTCAGCGATCACTGAGTGTGTGTACAATGCTTTTTACATTGCTCTCTGACACGCTGTCACAGGAAGCTGATCGAGCCGTGTAGAGAGGAAAGCCCAGCCTCCTGTGACAGCGCTGTCTCCGCCCCCCACATCGCTCTGCCGGACTGTGATAGGCGGCTGAGCAGTGTGGGAGGAGAGACGCCGGCCGTTCACAGCGCTCTCGTCCTGCAGCGCTCGGCCGGCTGTCACTTTCCTTTCTCCCCGCTGCAACAGCGCCCAGCGGGGAGAAAAGAAACCAGGGATGTGCCGATGTATCGGCCGAAACATGGCTATTTCGGCATTATGCCAAAAGTGCCATTTTCGCCCGATATGTTTTGGTGGCCGATATATCTGTGCATCCCTGATCAAAAATGTATCCATACTTGTAAGTACTCGGGCAAGTATCAGTACTTGTACTTGCAAAAATGGTATCGGTGCATCCCTTTATATTTATAAAAACAAAATAATACATTAAAACAGAGATGTACAAATCCCAGGAGCTCCGTATGCTCCTTAAAAATGACAGCTGCCTCCTAACTTTTGAATTTTTCTCTAGTCTAGTCCTGGAGCTGCAAAAGTATTTGTACTTGTACCAAGTACTGTACTTGGTGTCGGTGCATCCTTAATTTTTAGTGACTTGCTGACAGCCTTGGCCATCAGTACTGCCAGTTATTTTCTGTACTTGCTAAAAAATTTTCTTAGCCCAAAAAATGAAAACTAATGCAGACACCCCTTTAAGGACTGGTAAGCTGCAGTACATCAAACTTTTTAAGTAGGGTATACACATGTAGATTTTCACACAACCGTTTGCGAAAAATCACATCGGAATGTTTGACAATACCATCAGAAATTCAAAATTTCATTTGATTTTTGGTTTTATTTAAAATAAATGAAGTTTTCCAAACAAAAAGCACATTCACTGTTAGAATTTCATACTATTGAGAAAAATTTCGTAACATGCTCCTTTGAATTTGTTCGTCACTGCTGTCAAAATTAACCATCAATTTCACCACATCAGCGATTAGAAAGTCGAATGAATGTTCCGAAATCGTTTTCGTTCGTTCAAAATTCTAACCATGCGTTCCCAACTTTAGGTTTAGTTACAATTTAGGTAGTTTGATATGGATTATTTTTGGAAGGTTGTTTGCAGCTGATATCCTGTGTATGGATAATCATTTACTTTGCTCCACCTTTGTAACTTTATCATGTGCTAGCATTGTCCAAAATGCCTTAAAAGAAGTTTATAACTGCTCCGTCTTGCTACAAATAAACTTAAGGTTGAGCACGGTCCTGACAAACGCTTTATCTTTGAGCCTTAAGAAACATTGATCAGGTTCCCAATGATCAAACGCTTTATCTCTGTGAGGTGGTTATTCACATCGATCACACTCTAAATGATCAGGTTCAGTGAATTCCCGAGTTGTGCAAATTGCATTAAAATAACATTACTGAAACATGTTAATGTTTCTAATGCAAGAATAATATTTCAAGGAGTTGCATTATAACCATTTTTA